CCCAGGAGTTGGAGGTTGCTGTGAGCTGTGATGCCACAGCACTCTACCCAGGGGGACAGCTTGAGGCTCTGTCTCAAAAAAAAAGAATTCCAGAAGTATTTTATATTACATATGCTGCTTATAGTTTGAATTTGTTTCTAGGATATATGACCTCAACTGTGCCAATAGTAATGATGTTTTGGAGCAATAGAGGGATTAAATACAGTATTTTCTAGATATGACCAAAGATGCAACATCTTGATTAAAACTCATATTTGACCTTATAACAGATCTCAGACACATGACAAGAATATCGGCTAAATGCTGTTAAAGTAATTGATTGAATTAGTTAATCTAATTGAATTTACATAAAGAGAGTTAAGTAAAACCACAGAAGGTACTCAAAGAGCAAGTCATGGATTTCAACAGAAAATGAAATTAATTTTGAATTCATACTATCTACAATTAGTATAAACTTGTTTTCTATTAATAAACTTAACCCCCCAAAAACCTAAATTACACACCTAAAACCTAAAGCCCAAATTACACACCTGTAATCCCAGCACTTCGGGAAGCCAAGGCAGTGGATTGTCTGAGCTCAGGAGTTGGAGACCAGCCTGAGTAAGAGCAATACCCTGTCCAAAAATAGCTGGGCATCAGGTATTTTGCAGGTACCTATAATCCCAGCTACTCGGCAGGCAGAGGCAAGAGAATCACTTCAGCTCAAGAGTTTGAGGTTGCTGTAACCTGTGATGCCAGGGCACTCTACCCAGGGTAACAGAGTGAGATACTGTTTCAAAAAAATAAATAAATAAATAAAAGTAATTTAAAGCTTATGAAGAACTACATTGACTCAAGAAAGATTGTCTTATTTGGCATTTTATCAGTAGAGTTCATGTTGTGTTAAAATGTTGAATATAAGAACATAATCAGAGCTCCATGAAATGAAGATAAAATTAATTTATGGAATACATAATAATTTATGAAATGTATGTGTATTCATTCATCTGCCATCACCAACTGATCAACAGTTGACTCAGGTATGCATAATAATAACTGATAGCTTGTAAACTTTCAGTCCTATGAAAATCAGAGCTTTGAAAATAGTATGGAGGGTCCTAAAGGAATTTAAATTAAAACTACCATAATAATCCACCAATCTCTTTTCTGAGTATATACCCAAAGGAAATTAAATTACCACCTCATAAAGATATCTGTACTGCCATGTTCATCGCAACACTATTCCCAGTAACCAAGATAGGTTACAACCAAAGTGTCCTTCAGCGGATAAATGGGTAAAGAAATCGTGATGTATATACAAATGGACTGTTATTCAGCCTTAAGAAAAAAGAAGATTCTGCCATTTATAACAACATGGACAAACCTAGAAGACACAAATGAAGTAAGCCGGAAGCCAGACAAAGAAAAAAACATACTGCATGATCTCACTTAGATGCAGAATTTTAAAAAAAAGCACAAGCAGCAACAATGAATATATGGAAGCAATTGAATGGTAGTTACCAAGGGGCAGGGGTGGGTAGGATAGGAGAACAGGAAGATGTAAATCGGGTACTGTGTATAAAACTCAAAACTGCAGTTATGGAGGATGAACATAGAGATCGAATGTACAACTTGAGGACTGTAGAATAATACTATACAGCAAAACTTGCTCAGAGTAGATTTTAGGTACTCTTATCAGAAAAAAAAAGGAAACCGTGAGATGATACATATGTTATTTAGGTTGACTCCGGTAATCATTTCACTATGTCCATGTATATCAAAATATGTTGTACACCTTATATACAATATATAGAGAGAGATACAAAAAAGTATTTTTCAAGATACATTTACCACAGTAAGAGGATAGAACATAAGTTATAACTTCTAAATATTAAACATATGGTATGTGGGCCTCCGTTTGTGTTTGTATTCTTGCCCGGGACCCTTGTAAATGTTAGGGAGTACCTCCTGCCTTATCTAACACTGCCACTTTAATGTACTTTTCCCTGACAATAAGTTTGATCATTTTGCATTTGTGTGGAGGTCATTCTTCTGTGTGAATTTGCCTGTTTTTGTCCTGTGCTCATTTTTTTTCTCTTGAGTTCTTTTGTCTTTTTTTTTTTTTTTTTTTTTTTTTTTTTTTTGAGACAGCCTCCCTCAGTCCCTGGGGTTGAGTGCCCAGGCATCACAGCTCACAGCAACCTCAAACTCCTGGGTTCAAGTGATCCACTTGCCTGAGCTTCTCAAGTAAATGGGACTACAGGTGCCCAGCTATTTTTTTTTAGAGATGGAGTCTCTTGCTCAGGCTGGTCTCCAACTCCTGAGCTCGGGCTGGTCTCTAACTCGTCAGCTCAAGCAGTCCACCCACCTCAGCCTCCCAAAATGCTAGGATTACAGGTGTAAGCCACCACACCCAGCCACCTAGATTTTCTTCAAAGATTTTATTTTATGTTTTATATTTAAGTCTTTAGCCTTCTGGAATTAGTTTTTGTGATGATGGAAAATAGGTTCCTGTTTTCTTCTGGGTAGAATGCTGGATTTTTCTTTCTAGCCCCTCAGATGCCAGACTACATTCGGCTACTACTCAGCCTCTCCATGTGGTCACCTGACCTCAAGCTTTTGTCCAAATCTGGATGTTTTATTTCCCCTTAACAGATGTGCCAACAACAAAACAAAAAATGTATTCCTGGCTGGGCGCCTGTGGCTCAAGCGGCTAAGGCGCCAGCCACATATACCTAAGGTGGCGGGTTCGAATCCCCAGCCCGGGCCCGCCAAACAACAATGATGGCTGCAACCAAAAAATAGCCGGGCGTTGTGGCGGGTGCCTGTAGTCCCAGCTACTTGGGAGGCTGAGGCAGGAGACTCGCTTGAGCCCAGGAGTTGGAGGTTGCTGTGAGCGTGATGCCATGGCACTCTACTCAAGGGGATAGCTTGAGGCTCTGTCTCAAAAAAAAAAAAAAAAAAATGTATTCCTGATAGTCTTCTGCATTTCAATAAACGGTTCTTCTATCTTTTTATTTGCTGAAGCCAAAAGCCTCAGTATCTTTCATGATTTTTCTGTTACGTGCATTCCACCTGCAAATTCTATCAGCTCCACCTTCAGAAGGTCCCAGCTCCTGCCTGTGGCTCAGCCACTCAGCTGAAACCACCCTGACAAACCACCACTCCTCAAGCCTCTGACTGGTCTCTGTTTCTGCTTTTGTCTCCCTCAGTCAACCTCACACCTCAACCAGAGTAATTATTTTCAGATAAAATGTTATAGATGTATAGCATACCTATAGAACTTCACAGATTGTGAAACCCCATGTACCCACCACCCACCAGAGAGGCAGGATGTGGCCAGAGACTCCCCTCCTGCCCCCTTCCATTCACTACCTCCCCCAAGGTAGCCATGTAACTGGCTTCTCACACCATACGAGAATGTGAGCATGTGAGCATGTGTTCACATTTCTCATGGACAGAATACAGGTGTGATATGTTCCACCTCAGTAGACGTGGCCAGGTGGCTTCCCAAAGGGTCTGCGCCAATTGACAGTAGTTTGCACTCACTGCAGTATTGAATGAGAATTTCAGTTCCTGCACATCCTTGCCAACACTTGATAGGTCTTTTTCATTTTAGCTACTCAGAAAGTGTCAGTGTAGTGGTAATAATGAGGTTTTTTGTTGTTTTGAGACAGAGTTTCGGTATGTCGCCCTTGGTAGAGTACCATGGCATCACAGCTCACAGCAACCTCAAACTCTTGGGCTTAAGCGATTCTCTTACCTCAGCCTCCCAAGTAGCTGGGACTACAGGCACCCATCACAACACCCGGCTATTTTTTTGTTGCAGTTGTCATTGTCATTCAGCTGGCCTGGGCCAGGTTCAAACCTGCCAGCCTCAACGCATGTGGCCGGCACCGTAACCACTATGCTACAGAAGCCGAGCCAAGAATGAGTATTTTTTTAAAGTTCAACTCGGATTATGACACTTCTCAGCTCAAACTTCCCAGTGTCCTATCATCTCATTCAGAATAAAAGTCTTTACACTGTCCTTTAAAAATTGGATGATCATATGGTTACCATTCACCTGGAACTTGATTTTGAGAGTAAAGGGGTACTTTTACTAACTAAGCCGTGACAGCAGGCGCAGAGGCAGTGTGTTGGGCCCCCGCTGCATCTGCACATGCACTTCTCCCTTTCCTCTCCTGGTGGCAGCTCCAGAATCCAGGGTGGGCCTAGGGACCCAAGGGATCTTGTGTGTGCAGACTGAAGTTTGAGATGTGCTCTGTTATTTTTATCCCCAATTTGTAGATGGGGACAATGAGACAGAGAATATAACTTCACTTAAGGTCACACAGCTAGAAGATGGTGATGTTGGGATTGGAACGGACAGAGAGCCGTCTGCCTGGAGCTGCCACGTGCAGCAGGGAGACAGCAGGCTGTGCCACAGCCTCAGATCTTGGAAGTTGGGGGTAAAGGGGACCCCCTGTGCCATTAACAACCTGCAACATGGGCCTGTAAGTGTTTTTAAGCTACATTATTGGTTATGGGGTGTTTCTCATCTCTAGCCTGTCACTTTTTTCTGTTTATTTTTGACAGAAACTTGGGAACTGTGGGTGCTGTTGCCTTGGACTGCAAAGGAAACGTAGCTTACGCCACCTCTACAGGGGGCATCACAAATAAAATGGTTGGCCGAGTTGGAGACACACCGTGTATTGGTAGGACCGGGGGACAGCTCCTGCCCCTCCCCCTTCCTGCCCTGTCACCGGGTTCTCTTCCCTCTCTGTTCTCTGCCCTTCTCTTCTTTTCTTTCTGCATTTCCTTTCTCCTCTTGGTGGCAGCTTAAGCACTTCCGGGAATGGCAATGGGGCTGTTCAGGGTTCTGCTTTGCAAGGGCGTTTTTCCTAGATTGTGTGTCTTGGGGAATGACTTGGGGAGGGAAATGGAGGTGGGAGGCTAACATTGCACCCACGCTGCCCTGTAGTGCCTCTGTTTTCTCTTTAGCCCCAGAGGCAGGAACTACAGACTTAACTCAACAGAGGGTTAAGTAAGTGCAAGCTCTTCCCAGGCATGGGCTCAAATTAACGATCCAAGAAAGCTGAAAACTTAAACTTTCAGTTATTAGATTTGAGTGGCATGAAAGTGATCCACTTCTACATAAATATTACAGATTGAACTGTGCATGTTAACAAGGAAGCACATTACCTCTCTCCTAGGAGTGGGTGAGAGGCAGGGCGAGGGTGTGTATATGTTCACTCCCTGCAGACTTTCACACTGTTTTCATGGAATCCTGAAATGCCTACAGATGACTGAAGTTTTGAGAAATAGCTAAATTGTCCTATCTGTCCCAAACAGCAGCTTATACTATTAGTGAAAAACTAAACCTACCTTCCCTCTGGTGTTTAGCAATAATCTGCACTTAACAGTTCTTTTTTCTTACTCTGTCTCTACCAAAAAAAAAAGTTCTTTATGTATGTGTGTGTGTGTGTGTATGTGTGTGTGTTTTAGAGACAGTCTCACTATATTGCCCTCAGTAGAGTGCTGTGGCATCACAGCTCACAGCAACCTCCAGTTCTTGGGTTTAGGTGATTCTCTAGCCTCAGCCTCCTGAGTCCTCCTCTGGAGGACTACAGGTGCCCGCCACAATGCCCGGCTATATTTTGTTGTTGTTGTTGCAGTTTGGCCAGGGCTGGGTTTGAACCCGCCACCCTCAGCCTGTGGGGCCAGTGCCCTACTCACTGAGCCACAGGCACTGCCCCACACTTGACAGTTGTTGATACCCTTTATTTTGTCACAAACTTAGAGTTTTATACTCAGCAAAACCCCTACCAAACTCTGCTCAGTCAGTAGTGCGAGTTTTGTATCCACTTGGCTTCAGACCTGGGCCACCCCAAGTCAGACCCCAGAAACCAACTTCAAATTGGAGTCACAGTGGTAACACTCAAAGAGAGAGCAGGCATACCCTCAGTTCTCAGAGGTCCTTGTCCTGGTGGCAAGACCAAATGTGCTCTCCCCTAGCAGCTCCACGGCTGGCCCTGTGTGCCCCATTGGGAGAGATGATGCCAGGGACCAGCAGTGGTCACTGTGTACTCATGACAAGTGTGTGTGGAGGGGGATGCTTTCACAGGCCTGTCACCCATGCCAGGACCACTCTTGGAGTCACCCTGGCCTTTTGTGGTACTAGAGTAACTGAAAAGAAAACAAAGACTTGGCTGCTTCCAAATGTTAGGGCCTATTGACACCATGGGATATAGGCAGCTCATCCCACAGCAGAAGCTAATAGGATAAAGGATAAGCAACTCTCCCGTTGCAGTAGTTCATTCACTGTCCCATCTCAACTCCCTCCAGAGCCAGGTCTAGGGGTATCCACCTCTGAGAACCCTTGCAGCCTGGTGACATTGAGCACACCTCAAGTCCTAAGTCCATGTCCAGCATCAGTTAATAAGGCTAATATCAATCATATAATGCTTCTGTATCAACTAGGGGAAAGCAAAGGTGAACCCTTCCAAGGCCAAATGTAGCTGGTGTGAAAAGATACAGGAATGACAGAAGATTGTAAGGTTGCTTAATCCAAAGCAAAACAAGGAAGAAGTCTTATCAAAGCAACCTTACCTCCAGACCCCCACTTAAACGGGTAACCCAGAGTAGTTCCCTCGGGTGCAATCAAGCCTGCCCTCAACGAACAGAACTGACCTCCAAGTCATTGGACCATATGCATGGATGTTGGCTTTGGGGGCTGTTAGTTTTCCCCAAATTATTAAACTTGATGGTCTTCTTGGATGTAGTGATGGCACTCTTCCTTCATAGCTTGTGGGATGGGAGGAGGTGGGGAGGGGCTGGCTCACTGAGCAGGCTGGGTATGCTTCGGGAAGAGCAGCTCTGCCGCCTGTAGCATGCTGTTAGGCTCCTTTGTCCTCCTGGATTTCAGAGCATTTACACCGCACTTAACTGGCCACCTTTGCATCCATGGGTCATGGATACTAATCTGACCTTACAGTGTGTGTGTAAATTTCATGACTGCTGCTCAGATGGAACCAATCACCTTCTTTGAGCAGGATCTGGAGGCTACGCTGACAATGCAATTGGAGCCATTTCAACCACCGGGCATGGGGAAAGCATCCTGAAGGTGAATCTGGCCAGACTCACTCTCTTCCACCTAGAACAAGGTACACAGACCCTAGAACAAGTTCAATAATTTGTGAAGACAAGTACACAGAAGCTATTTGATAAATGTGTGGAGAAATGCAGGGTGGACGTAACGTTTGTGTGCAATTTACTATGTTAAATTTTTTTTTTTTTGAGACAGAGTTTCACTTTGTCATCCTGGGTAGAGTGCCATGAAGTCACAGCTCACAGCAACCTCAAAGTCTTGGGCTTAAGTGATCTCTTGCCTCAGCCTCCCAAGTAGCTGGGACTACTCACACTTGCTCAGGCTGTGAACTTGGGAGCTCAAGAGATACACCTGCCTCAGTCTCCCAGAGTGCTAGAATTACAGGCATGAGCTATGGCGCCCAGCCAATGTTAAACTATTTTAGAGTGACTAAACACCCTTCATGAACACCCTGCATATGCACCCTTTCGTGTTTGCTGCAGATGTTGCTTTCAGGTTGTGAGCACTTTGTTTTAATTCCTTCCCACCTTCTGTTAGAATCTGGAGAGGAGAACGTTTAGAACACTTGGACATCTCAGGAGAAGAGGGTGTTATGGAGACCTTGAGCCCAGGTGTAGGGGAGGAGGCCCTGTCTCGGGTCAGGGAAGCAAAGACCCTCCTTCTAAGCATTCAAGTGGAAATTACCTAAAATCTTTAACTTTGGCTTTTCACACTGCAAATGACTTTCCCATCACGTTCACTTCAGTAATGTGTGTTGCTTTCAACCTTCCCTTGTTCTCAGGAAAGTCACTAGAAGAGGCTGCCAACTTGTCGTTGGATTATATGAAGTCAAGGCTCAAAGGTTTAGGTGGTCTCATCTTGATTAACAAAACCGGAGACTGGGTGGTAAAGTGGACCTCTGCCTCGATGCCCTGGGCGGCCGCAAAGGACGACAAGCTGCACTCTGGACTCGACGTGGATGAAACCACTATCACGGACCTGCCCTAAGTCCCGGAAGATTGTATTCTAGATGGCAGCTTGGAAGTAAAGTACAATTTCCGGGTGTGGGGCGCAGCTTAATCAATTAGATCTAGAAATGGAAAAATTATGTTGTCTGTCACTCATTTTGTTGCCATGATCAGTAAGTATCTGAATATGTGGTTGAGGGGTGGGTTCTAAATTTCTGTATTAAGATCAAAGTAAGACTAGTGAAGATGACCAACTCTACTACTAGAGCCTTTCTCGTGCGCAATTCCTGTCCTGCAAGGTTAGAAAGAAGCGACACAATCATGATGTGGCAGAAGTGCCTTGGGGCAGGCAGTGCCTTTTGAAATGAGGAGCCATGGGCTGGCGAGGTGGGGAGGGGAGGCCCAGTGGATGTGGCAGTGTTTGAAAGTGAGGCAGGAGCAGCAGGAGAGCTAATGGACAAAGTCCAGGGGAATCCTGGAATGTTCATCTTGAGTTGCAGAAACATGCAGTAAAAGCAAAAATCCTTTAAGGAAAATGTTCTTCATTTATGAGTAAACTGATTTTTCTAAGAAAGTTCAGATCTTCTCTGACTCACTAACATAGACCTGTTTCCGGATACTTCCAAAGGACCCTCCACTAACTCATAGCTCCCTAATTGGGAGACAGAGTGTCAAAATGAAGACACTCTGAGGTTCCTTGAAATCTGAGGGTTTTCCTGGGATCACAGGTGAGCCCCCTTACCTAGTGTTCTCCCACAATCCAGCCTCAACCTGCTGCTGCCCTCTGGTATAAAGGGTCATTTAGTAAGGAATGGGCTCCCCGCTTCTACACTCTCTCCAACAAAAGGAAGGAGCCAGCTGGTGTGAACAAGACACCATGATGCCATGAATTTTCATTCTGTCCAGTGCTTGGGACACCCTCTCCTGCCCCACTGAGTCAAGCTGTACAGTCAGCATGGTGAGGAAAGTAACTTCCTTGGTGGAGAATATTCCTGATAGTCTCTCTTTACACTGGAAATGTTATTTCTGCTATGACGTATCTGCTCAATATTCTTAGTCTGTCAGGATTTACTTTCTCTCTGGCAAGAAATTTCATAACTTTAAATCCCATGTGCCACTAATAAAATATATTTTGAAAGAATAACAGTGTGGTCAGGAGTCACTGTTGACAAAGACCAGAATGTACACAGCTCTCCTTTGGTCTCAGTAATGACAGGTGCACTGGGTAAAGAGACCTTGAGGTGGGGGGATGGGTAGTATCTGCAATACATCCTGCCTTGTGGAGTGTTTTCAAAAGAACTGAACTTTGAATGAGTTAAGGAAGAGACCAACACCCCCCCCCCCATTTGCAGATATTAACAGGGGTTTTGGATCAGTCTTCTGTACTTTGACAGCACTCACTGTAGGTATGCAGTCCTGGCTCCTTCCCCCAGACCCTCCCTGGGCCTACATTAGCTGCTCTGAAGCAGAAAGAGATGGCATTTGATGATAGAACTAAGTTTGAATCCTGCTTATCCCCACTATCCAAGTGACACTGGGCAAGTTAACTTTTAAGAATTTTTCAGCTGGGCACAGTGGCTCTTGCCTGTAATCCTAGCACTCTGGGAGGCCAACATAGGAAGATGGCTTGAGCTTAGGAGATCAAGACCAGGCTAAGCAAGAGCGAGACCTCATCTCTACTAAAAACAGAAAAATTAGCCAGGCGTTGTGGCAGGTGCCTGTAGTCCCAGCTTCTTAGAAGGCTGAAGCAGGGGGATCACTTGAGCCCAGGACTTGGAGAGTGCTATGAACTACAATGACGCCATGGCACTCTACCCAGGGTGGCATAGCAAAACTGTCTCCAAAAAACAAATAATAATTTTTCATCTATAAAGTAGATTACTAGAAAGATAAAATAAAGAAAACTGCTCAGTGTATTATTATACGGATCCTGTGGACAAATACAGAAACTGGCCAGGAGTGAGGGAGTTTATATGCAACAACTGCCCCTTTAAAAGTAATTTAGGCTGGGCACGGTGGCTCAAGCCTGAAATCCTATCACTCTGGCAGGCTGAGGCAGATAGATTGCCTGAGCTCATAGTTCGAGACCAGCCCTAGCAAGAGCAAGACACCTGGCTCGGCGCCTATAGCTCAACTGGCTAAGGCGCCAGCCACGTACACCTAAGGTGGCGGGTTCGAATCCCCAGCCCGGACCCGCCAAACAACAATGACGGCTGCAACCAAAAAATAGCCGGGCGTTGTGGCGGGCGCCTGTGGTCCCAGCTACTTGGGAGGCAGAGGCAGGAGACTCGCTTGAGCCCAGGAGTTGGAGGTTGCTGTGAGCTGTAATGCCATGGCACTCTACCCAGGGGGACAGCTTGAGGCTCTGTCTCAAAAAAAAAAAAAGAGCAAGACACCTTCTCTAAAAACGGGCTGAGACAAGAGAATTACTTGAGCCCAAGAGTCTGAGGTTGCTGTGAGCTCTGATGCCACAACACTCTACTGAGGGAGACAAAGTGAGACTCTGTCTCAAATAAATAAATAAATAAAAATAAAAAGCATTTTATTAGGTGACATATTCGCTGAGGGCTACCACAAAAAGAGTATGCAGACTGAGTGGCTTAACCACCTGAAATTTGTTTTCTCAGTTCTGGAAGCTAGAAATCCAAGGAGGTGTCTGCAGTGTCTCCTGGGGATCCCTGCAGACACTTGCACCACATTCTGCACGTGTGTGTCCCTGGAACCTCTCTGTGCACCCTAATCTCCTCTCAGACACCAGTCCTATTGGATTAGGATCCACCCTGGAGGCCTCATTAACCTTGATCACTTCTTTAAAGGCCCTAACTCCAAATACAGTCACAATCTGAAGGACTGGGGTTGGGGCTTCAACAAATGAACTTGGGAGAGGACAGAATTCAGCCCCTAACAGGAAGCAAAGCAGAATGCTTTCAGGGGTTGAAAAATAAAGAGACCTTTTGGAGAAGAAACTTACTAAGGCAATAAGGAAAAAAAAAGAAAGGGAAGTGGGGTTGTAGAAGCCAGGTGGAAGATATGATTTTGAACTTGTCTCATTGGGTCTCCCAATTCACAGGGGAATTGGCTCTAGTTAGTGAAGTCAGCTGGGTGCTTGGCCATTTGGCCTCCTTGCTGGGCCAGGTACTGGGATGTGGGGTCATCAGCCCTGTTGTGTAAAGCCAATATGGGTATTGTTCCTCTCAGACCTGGGTCCTACAAAAAGCCGCCTCCATTGGCCTGGGGTTTCCATAAGCAAAGACCACATACAGTTCTCACTTTGCTGCACACACTGCAGTGGGGACTGCTCCACCGCTATTTGACAAATGAACCAGCTGGATGTTGTTTAAAGACAGGCTTGTTGCCTCTCCTGTGCCACAAGAGGGCAGCAAACGACAAGTCTCCCCCAGCCGCCCAAAGCTGGGTGGTTTATCTCTTGAATCAGAACATGTACTTAAAAAATTTGAAACCACAGAGGGTCCCTGTTCCTGACCCCCATTTTTATTAAGTGTTCTTTTTTTTCAGTTTTTGGCCCGGGCCAGGTTTGAACTAACCACCTCCAATATAGGAGACTGGCACCCTATTCCTTGAGCCATGGAGGCCACCCTGACCCCCATTTTTATCTAAACATAATTTATTTTGGTGAAGGGACAGAGTCTCACTTTGTAGCCCTTGGTAGAGTGCCATGGCGTCTCCAACTCTTGGGCCAGGGCGATTCTCTTGCCCCAGCCTCCTGAATAGCTGGGACTACAGGCACCTGCTACAACACCCAGCTATTTTTGTTGCAGTTGCCACTGTTGTTTTAGCTGGCTGGGGCTGGGTTCGAACCCGTCACCCTCGGTATATGGGGCCGGCGCCCTACGCACTGAGCCACAGGTGCCGCCCAACATTATAACTTATTTTAGAGCAGAATTATCAAAACATAAATACTAGCAGACACCCCACAGAGCCCGTCCCAAATCAACAATGGAAGCCCCTTCCACACCAGCCTGTCCCCTGCCCTCAGGTGTTCCTTCTAGCCAGGAAGACTGATGGACAGTAACTCGGCCTGTGTCAAAATAGTGAGAGAATAAGGAGCACAGGAGAGTCCCAGAGACAGTGTCCCCTGGGATTGGGGGGAAGGGCAGGACATGCTAGAGTTGGGGGTTTGCCTTCTGCTAGGCTGCAGAGAGGAGTCCAGAATAAGGAAGGGCCTTAACTTTGAAGTTGGGTAATAAACATTTTCATCAAATTACACCCTTTCTAGCCACATTCCTTTCTAGCATGAGGGATTATAAACAGTGCAAAGGAACACGTCAGTCCTCTTCGCAGTCCTGACACGGGAGATGATGGTGTGCGGGGAAGGGACTTACTCTTCCAGCCTCTCGGCTGCCCCTCTGAAGCCCTCCCATCAGCCTTCATCTTTGCACATACCCATCACTGAATTTGGATTTTGGAGCTGATTCGGGGGAACAACAAAGTGCCCTCAGAGCTTATCCAGCTAAGAAAATGTAGGTGTTCACTGCCTCTCCTCTGCACAGCCGTGGGCATGACCCAGCAAGGAACAGCCTGGCAAAAGGACAAGGCAAAACCAGGTCTAGGGATGGGGCTGGGAGGGAGGTTGGGCCTGGAGCACAGTGGGTGAGGCATGGGTGCCCATTAGTGGCCTCATATGGAGTAAATACTGTCAAAGGGAGGGTGACCTTTCTGCCCCTCCTCACGCCACAACCATGTGCTACATAGAGTTGAGCCATAGTCCTCTGTAGCGCTCTCTGGAGTTAAAAATATGCAGAAGGAGTCACAGGGATTATACTACCCTTTTGAAAGATAAAACATAAGCCCCAGAGGAAATGGAGTTTTCCCCCAAGAAACAGGTTTAAACTGAGGTTTATTCCAACCTCCTTATGCCCAAACCAGTGGCTCTCACCCCTGCTGTGACCTTGTCACACCAGACATGCAACCACCATCCTGGATCTATGGACAGCCCCAGAGTGCCCCAGGTAAGAAACAGGAAAGACTAGCTCATTTGGAAAACTCTATCCTTTAAATCCTGGGCTTTCCCAACTCACTATTAAAATAAAATTGGATAGGCTCGGCGCCCGTAGCACAGTGGTTACAGTGCCAGCTACATATGGTGGCAGGTTCAAACCTGGCCCAGGCCAGCTAAACAACAATGACAACTGTAACAAAAAATAGCCGAGGGCAGTGCCTGTGGCTCAAGGAGTGAGCCATATGCCAGAGGTGGTGCGTTCAAACCCAGCCCAGGCCAAAAAAAAAAGCCGAGTGTTGTGGCAGGCACCTAGAGTCCCAGGTACTTGGGAGGCTGAGGCAAGAGAATTGCTTAAGCCCAAGAGTTTGGGGTTGCTGTGAGCTGTGACACCACAGCACTCTACCAAGGGTGACATAGTGAGACTCTGTCTCAAAAAAATAAAAAATAAAATTGGACTTTCAAGCGTTGATAGAAGAAACCAGTCTAGGACTAATTTTTGATCCTCTTGAAGTTACCTAGCTTTTACTTTACAGTTATCTGTACTTTCTGGATCCTGTGCAGAGGTTTGGGTTCTGAAGTTCTGAACTTCCACAGGGGAGTCAAGAAGAGAAGACTGAGGCTCCTCCCCACACGCAGTGGTCCCCACCCCCTGCCCTGGATCAGTACCTCAGGGTGGCAGCCTATTACTAAACATTTTTAAGTTAAAAGTAACATTTTAATACAACAAAATCAGCATATAAGAATTATAGAGTTCTAAAAGATAAAATTTAAGATAAAATTTTTAAATACGTGTAAAAAAATAGATCGACAACAAAAAGGGGGAAATTTTCACCCAGGGAATATCACTATTAATTACTTATTACATATTCTTCCAGGATCTTTTTCAAAGCATATATATGGGTAATTTTTTTTTCCAAAATGAGACCATACCACACATGCTATGTGTAACTTTTCAATTAACATTGTCCACCTTTGCATGTCAATGATCTCTCACCTTACGTTATATTTGGTCAGTATTCCAATTTCCCCAGTTTTCTCAAAATGGCCTTTCAGCAGGGGCTGAGGCTGCTGGGTTGGTTAGTTCCCCCTGTGTGTGAAGTACTCGGGTACCATTCCTGTGCATGCTGGGGCGATTCAGATGGAAATGACA